CACACACACACACACACACACACACACACACACACACACACACACACCCCCTTCCCCTATTATATCTGAATTCCTCAAATTTGTCATTTATTAAGGAGTAATAATATTCCATTATGATCAGACACTACAAATTTGTCTAACTATTTCCCAGTAGATAGACACCCATTTTTGTTTCCAGTTATTTGCTACAACAAAAGAGGCTCTGCATATTTTGGTATAAGTAGGACATTTCTGTCATTGACCTCCTTAAGGTCTAGGGTATTTATTTTTTCAGGCACTTCAACATCATTTGGTACCATCTTTGCAGCAACATTCCTTCAGCATATAAAGAATACTTTACTTATGGATGTATTCTCTCCTTGCTGTACAATATTGCTTTAGTTGAAATTTGAAAGTCATCTTGATGATGAAGGCAGCTGGGGTGGCACAGTCCTGGGCCTGGAGTCAGAAAGACCTGAGTTCAAATCCGGCCTCAGATACTTATTAGCTGTGTGACCTTGGGCAAGTCACTTAACCCTATTTACCTCAGTTGCTCATCTGTAAAATTAGCTGGAGAAGAAAATGGCAAACCACTCCAGCATCTTTGCCAAGGAAACCCCAAATGGGGTCACCAAGAGTGGGATATGACTGAACAACAACAACCTGATGGTGAACAACTCAGTTCTTGGCGCATGTGTCAGTGTTTGCCACATTTTCCTACAATTTTGCACACCTGAAAAAGAGCGAAATAAAAAATTATTCATTCTTATCTGTTTTAGGATATTAAAATTTAAATTTCATTGTACAGACAAGGGAACTTTTGCATATTGGAAAGAGACTTCGTGTTCGTGTCAGGGGATGTGGAGGCAAAGGCACTGTCTGCTACCTGTACCTTGGATAAACTAGTCTCTTACTTTTCTTGTCTATTTAAAAAAATAATTAAACAATTTATTTCTTAATTTTCAGTTTTCAACATTCACTTCCATAAGATTTTGAGTTTCAAATTTTCTCCCCCTCCCTTTCCTCTCCCCCTCCCCAAGACAGCATGCAATCTGATATAGGCTCTATTTATATATTCATATTAAGCATTTTTTCACATTAGTTATGATGTAAAGAAGAATTAGAACCAATGGGAGGAACCACAAGAAAAAAAGAATCAAAACAAAACAACAAAAGAAAATGAGAGCAAATGGTATGCTTCCATCTGCATTCAGACTCCATAGTTCTTTCTCTGGATGTGGATAGCTTTTTCCATCTTGAGTCTTTTGGAGTTGTCTTAGATCCTTGCATTGAGAAGAGCCCAGTCTATCAAACTCAGTCATTGCACAATCTGGCTGTTTCTGTGTACAGTGTTCTCGAGGTTCTGCTCATTTCACTTAGCATCAGTTCATACAAGTCTTTCCAAGTTTTTCTGAAGTCTACCTGCACATCCTTTCTAAAGCACAATAGTATTCCATTACATTTATATTCTACAGTTTGCTCAGCTATTCCCCAATTGATGGGCATCCTCTCAATTTCCAGTTCTTGACCACCACAAAAAATAGCTGCTATAAATATTTCTGTACATGTGGGTCCTTTTCCCGTTTTTATGATCTCTTTGGAATACAGACCTAAAATTGGTATTGCTGGGTCAAAGGGTATGCATAGTTTTATAGACCTTTGGGAATAGTTCCAAATTGCTCTCCAACAATGCATTAGTGTTCCAATTTTGCCACATCTTTTATCATTTCCTTGTCTATTCAAAAAAGAAAAAGAAAAGGGGCAGCTAGATTGCACAGTGGATAGAGCTCTGGCCTTGGAATCAGGAGGACCTGAGTTAAAATGTGGCCTCAGACACTTGACACTTACTAGCTGTATGACCCTGGGCAAGTCACTTAACCCCAATTGCCTCGCAAAAAAAGAAAAGGTTGATTTGAGATTCCTTTCCCCCTAACCTTTAAATCTGTCATCCTATGGCTATACATCCAATGTTCTTTTTTCTAAATCATACTGATGCTTTATTTATTTTTTTAAAGTTAGTTTTTGTCAATGCCTTTTGTTTTCCTATCAGTCTTTTCTGGAAATACTCTCCTCCTTCCTTTTCTGTCTGTCACCCTTTCCTTTTTACAAAGAAGTGAAGAAAAAACCATCCGGTACAGTGACTGGGCTGTGTATATGCCACTACACCTCTGTAGTTATCAACTTCCCTGACAAGAAGAGGGAAGCATGCTTCATTATCTGTTCTCCAGGAATATACTGGTTTGTCAACTACTTAGAGTTTGGTTTCTTTGGCTGAGCTTTTCATTTATTTTATTGAGGTCATAGCATGTATATTGTTCATCTGGTTCAGCTTATTTTACTCTGCAACAGTTGACACAATCTTCCAGTATCTCCTGAATTTCTCGTATGTGTCATTTCATTTTGTTCAGTCATTTTTCAGTCATGTCTGACTCTTTATGACCCACTTGGGATTTTCTTAGCAAAGATACTGAAGTGGTTTGCCATTTCCTTCTCCAGCTCATTTAACTGATGAGGAAACTGAGGCAAACAGGATTAAGTGACTGTGTTAAGTGACAGCTAGTCATACAGCTAGTGTCTGAGGAGGGATTTGAACTCATGAAGAAGAATCTTCCTGACTCTAGGCCCAGCACTTTATCCACTGTGCCATCCAGCTGCTCATGTCATTTTGTACCGCATAATTATATTCTGTTAGGTTAGTACATCATATTTTGTTCACCCATTTCCCCAGTCAATGAGCACCTACTTTGTTTCCAATATCATAAAAAGCTGCACTGCAACATTAGGATAGATATTAGATATAGTATGTGTGTTGTTGTTTCCTTTTTTAGGGGAAGGGAGAGTGTTACTATCACAAATTGTATCAAATTGATTCAGCCATTCTATTATAAATTCATGTCTTATAATATTTCTTTCACTAATACATGTACCATGTTTCAATTGCTTTCTAATGCTCATTTCCACTGTCTTCTTTGTTAAAAAAAATCTGCCCTCTGTTTTGTGTTGTGTGTTATAAATATATGCTGCAATGTCTGAATTAAATAGATACTCTCTCCCTTCTCCCTTCCTTCCCAGCCAGTCTAATAGGACTTGGCAGTTTTGAATTCTGGGGAATGATTAGCATCTACTTAAATGGAGGCTGTACAGTCACTCTCCTTCAAGTATTTACATGTCCCATAAAGTGCCCTTCAGCTAGTCTCTGATATGGCTTTTCCTTTTGCCACTTGGAACTGACATTCCGAACATTGACTGCAGTCACTAGAATTGGTCATATCTTTGCTTCCCCTCCCAAGTTCCATTGGCCATCTTCTGGATATCTAATTGTTAGGAAGTCATTCTTTACATGGAGTTGAAATCAGACTCTATGGAACCTCCACTTAATGTTCCTAGTTCTGCCCTAAATTTAGGACCAAGCAGAGCAAGGTCAAATTCCTTTTTCACATGACAACCTTTCAAATAATTGAAAACTGCTTTCATATAACCATTAAGTTTTCTTTTCTCCTTGCTAAACACCCCTGGTTTCTTGATCTGAATCCCATATTGCATGACACTGAAGTTCTCTACCATCATCACTGCCCTTTGCTACATGCCCCTAGCTTTTTAATGTCCTTCCCAAAGTGTGGCTCCCTAAACTGAACGTAATAGACGGGATACTATTGTACTGTAAGAAGTGATTAGCAGTATGCCCTCAGAAAAACCCACAAAGACTTGCATGAGCTGATGCAAAATGGGACGTACTGTGTACAAAGTAACAGTAATATTTTAAGATGATCAGCTGTGAATGACTTAGCTATTCTTGCAATACAGCAATCCAAGACACTCTGAAGGACTTATGAAAAATGCTATCCATACACAGAGGAAGAACTGATGGTGTCTGACTATAGATTGAAGCATACTTTTTTTTTTACTCTATTTTTCTTCAGGTTTTTTTTGTCTATGTTTTCTTTCACAACATGACTATTATGGATATGTTTTGCATGACTACACATGTATAACCTATATTGAATTGCTTGCCTTCTCAATGGGCGGGAGGGTGGGGTGGGAGGAAGGGAGAGAATTTGGAACTCAGAGTTTTAAAAACAAATGTTAAAAATTGTTTTTACATGCAATTGGGGAAAATAAAATACTAAATTTAAAAAAGACATTAAAAAAACTGAACATAATACTCTAGATGTGATCTGATGAGGGCAGAGTGCAGTAGGAATATCATCTTCCTTGCTGATCATCCAACAAAGGGATAGTTGTACCATGGGAAATAGTGACATATTGGATCAGACTCTGTTTACTGAAGACAGTTTAATCTAAACGAAAAGGCTTTTGTCCTAGGAGTCAGGAGGCCTCAGTTGTAGTTCCAGTTCCTTTAATAATAAATTAAAAAATAACAATGCTATACAATAATGGATATTCATAAAGATGACCCTGAGGAGATTGTACAAGCAATTTCAGAAAGATTTTCATCAAAATTACATTGCCACTTAAAGAAATAAACTTCAATAATGTGCAGACATTAAAATAATAATAATAGTAATAAAAGACAGCATTTATGTGATGCTTTAAGGTTTGCAAAGTACTTTACAAATATGATGTCTTTTTATCCCCACGACAACCCAGGTAGGTAGGTGTTATTATTATCCCCATTTTACAGACAAGGAAACTGAGGCAGATGGAGGCTAGTGACTTGCTCAGAGTCACACAATAAGTGTCTGAGACCAGATCTGAACTCAGGTCTTCCCGACTCCAGGTCCACTGCTCTATTCATTGAGCCACCTAGCTACCTCTTAATTATCTTTGCAATTTTGATCAATATCTTTTGATTTCTCTATATTTTGGGGAGTTTAAAAAATAGATATTACATAACAAATTTAGTCAGTGTTTAGGGCATGAAGTATATATTAAAACCCATTTTAACCATATTGCCATTTCCCCCATAAGTTTTTCATAAATAGTAATTTCATTCACTAATGTTTTTTAAAGCATGGCTTTATCAAAAACTAACTTCTTACGTACTTTAGATGCTGTTTCTGGTTTCTCTACTGATCTAATTCAATTTTCTTTTTGAGTGCTAAACATTGAAAAAAACAAAATAATTAGGGTTTTGTAATACATTTTGTGAACTGGCAACACTAATTCCCTTCACTAGTCTTCTTTTTTTATGGCTCCTCTTGATTTTTGCCAGTCTTTTCTTCCCATATACATTTTGTTATTCTTTTAATCCAATTCTATGAAATAACCTATTGATATTTTGATTAGCATTGTACTGAACCCACAAATTAGGTTGGGAATATACTTCTGCCTTTTTCATCTTTGAAATGTAACTGATACTATTTGCTCCTTCCTTCTACATTATTGTCATCAAAAAACATTTATCAAGTTTCTCCTTGGTTATGACTCTGCTAGGTGTTATACTGAGAAAGACAGGTCCCGATCTTCATAAAGCTTACAGTCGAAGTAAGTTGGTAACATAAGACACTGTAGTAAGATTGGAAGCTTCCCTGGAGGTAGGTGTAAAAATTTCACCTGATAACCAGTATTTTTTAAGAGATAAAGCGCTGGATATTTTTTCTTCCCAATGGGCATTCAATAAACTTATGTTATTACATATGAAAATAACAATAGACCTAAATACTCTTACAAATGCAATGACCAACCATAATTCCAGAGGACTAGTGATAAAGCATGCCACTTGCCTCCTAACAGAGAGGTGATGGACTCATGATACACAATGAAACAGTTGTTTTTGGACAGGGCTGATGTAGGAATTTATTTAGCTTGACTATGTATATCTGTTATAAGGATTTTGTTTTTTCTTTTTCTCTCCTCAAGTGGGGGGAGGAGGGAAGAAGAAGACAAAACAAATGCTTGTTAATTGAAAAATAATTTTTTAACTTAAAAAGAATGATAATAACACCAACCTTATAGGGTTGCTATGAGGATCAAATGGGATTATTTTACTTTTGACCCACTAGGTAAAGCTTGGTGAATATTAAATGGGAGGTACTATTATTATATTATTTCTGAAATACAAGTATAAACTATGTCTATAACATTCCAGATATCTGTCAGTCTAATAATCCTGTTAAAGCAGAAATAAAATTAGCATGGCATGACCCCTTTGTGATTAATGGATGTGGTCACAGGATCCTGGCTATGGGATCACTGTTGCTCTTTTCAAATGTTCATAATCTATTCTTTTAATAACAAATTCTAGAATTTTGCTAGCAATTGAAGTCAAGATAAACAACAATCTATTTGCCCTCCAAATCCTATAGCACTTTTCCAGTTCCCTGGATTTTGCAAAGATCATTGAGAGCAGCTTACGAATCATATTCCCTTTTCTATCAGTTGCTCTGGGTTTCAGTTCCACTTGCAGGAGTATCTTCCAGGATAAGCTCATAACCTGAAATCTCATCATCCTTAGCAGCACCTTCAAGGTTGCCTCTCCCCTGTGACTGGAGGACTGGAGGAAGAGCAACAAACTCCTCCCAAAACCTTCCTTTCAGAAAATTTCAAATAATGTTTCATTTTACATCAATAGCTCTGTAAACATCCTGCCTCTACTCCAAGATCCCCCTGGTCCCCTTGCCTTTTCAGCTTCCTTTTTTGTATTGTCTTTCCTCATTAGATTGTAAGCTCTTTAAGAGCCTTTCTTCCTTCCTTCCTTCCTTCCTTCCTTCCTTCCTTCCTTCCTTTCTTTCTTTCTTTCTTTCTTCCTTCCTTCCTTCCTTCCTTCCTTCCTTTCTCCAGGGCTTAGCACAGTGCGTAGCACATAGTATGTGCTTAATACATATTTATTGATTATTGAATCCAATATTTAATTCCATTAAAGAAGTGTTTTTAAAGGACCACCTTACTATATGTCAGAGCAAGAACTCAAGTAAGTTGCCCAAGGTTATACACATGGAAAGTGGCAGAATTAATGAGTTCCCTGGGCATCTACATTGGTTTCTTTAGACAGTTTTTCTTGACCCCCCCATAACCACACCCTATATTCTTTTTTTTTTTTTGGTTAGGCAATGGGATTAAGTGACTTGCCCAGGGTCACACAGCTAGTAAGTATTATATGTCTGAGACTGAATTTGAACTCAGGTCCTCCTGAATCCAGGGCTGGTGCTCTATCTACTGCGCCACTTAGCTGCCCCCACACCCTATATTCTTCCTTCCTCACCAGAATCATTTGTATTTTTGTCACTAGAATTTCTCCCCTATTCCATCTAGCCTGAATCAACTTTCCCTGCAGAATTTTAGGCTATGGGATCATACCTCCCTTTTCTCTGAGTTCATTGAACCATTTCTCCTTCTGTATAGCACATAGCATAGTGAGTGGATAGGGAGCTGGCCTGAAATCCAAGAAGACCTAGGGTTCAAATTCCACTCTTGGGTAAGTCTCAATGTGGTAGAAAAAGAAGCTGAAGTAAATTGGTAAAGGGAATTTTCTCACTAGAAGCTCCTTATGCCAATGAAATCATAGATCTAGTCCCCATGCTTGTCCCCTCTTTGAAAATCATTCTCCTATAATCTTAGCTGCTTATCTGATTATGCTCGTTCTCTCCTTTCCAGTAGTCAGGAATACAAAGATATTCTGGTGATTTCCTTCATTCCAGGCCCCCATTATTCCTCCTTCAGCAACTAATTCTCCTTGTCAGCCAATAATTTCTACCCCATTCCATTCACCAATCAGAAATGACTATTTGAGTTTTATTCTTTTTCCTTCCCTTTCCTTAGGTGGCAGGCCTAAAACATAGGAGATGTAATGAACAGCAGATTCCCTCCCTCAGTGGCAAATGACTAGAAAGGAGATTCCTTCCCCCAAGCAATCCATAAATTTAGGTAACCAGACCCTTAATAATTAAAAGTTGAATATAATTGACACTACATACTAAATATTACCCACCAAAATCCTTTCCCGAGTGGCTAACAAGGAGTAAAATGCCCTGATTGAAGATTCATCTCTTTTCCTTTCTCCAGCCCTACTTTGGTAGAGGTGTTAATGAGCTGCAAAAAGTATAAAAAGCAGGCAGCAGGAGGGAGAAGCATAATCCCACAACTGGGTCTTCCAAACCTGAATAATTGAGAGGAAACTGATGTCAAACTTCAGGGAAAAATGGATGTATTCTTGTGTCCATTTATATACACGAGCTTAAAGCACTTTTAGGCATTATCTAATGAAAGCTGTCAATGACCTTTTAAAGCAGGTTTACCCAAGGTCACAGAAAGAGACAAACATTCTGGAGGGGGGAGGGGGATAAATGTACTTGTAAAAAATTTCACAGCATAGATGTTGGTATGTGAGTCTGCTGTAGAATCTACACTTTTGAATTGTGGTGCTAGAGAAGACTTCTGAGAGTCCCTTGGACAGCAAGAAGATTAAATCAGTCAATACTTAGAGAAATTAATTCAGGCTATTCGCTGGAAGAACACATACTAATACTAATGCTAAAGCTTAAATACTTTGGCCCCATAATGAGAAGATGGGACTAAAGATTGGAAAAGACCCTAATGTTAGGAAAGATTGAAGGCAAAAGGAGAAGGGTATGTCAGAGGATGAGCTGGCTAGATAACGTCATGAAAACGACCAATGTGAACTTGGGTGGACTCTGAGAGATAGTGAAGGATAAAATGGCCTGGTGTGTGATGATCCCTGGGTTCTTGAAGAGTCAGACATGACAATGACTGAACAACAGCAAAAAGATATAATAATCTAAGAATAAACAAAGGATTTAGGTAACAATTGTTTCCTCTTCCAAGGGTGGGCCAACTTAGGACGTTCTCAGGACAGAGAGTATACCTACTCCACTGTGATGTCCCCTTTCTGTCCTCCAGGTTTTTCCTGCACAGTGTGACCTGTAAGAACTCCTGAGAGGGGTTAGTGAAAGAGGGAAAAGAAATAAAACCTTCCCTTTCTCCTTTCCTTTTCCCTATCTCCCCAAACCCCGCCCCCCATCTCCACAACACTGCTCTCTTCCCTCCTTCACCCCGACACCCCACACCATTACTACGTCTCCAAAGAAGAGGAAATAGCAGGGAGAATCACATTACTAAGAATTTTAAAGTTGGAAGGGATATTAGGGGCCATCTAATTCAACTAATCAATCAACAAGCATTCATCAGTCGCCTTCTAAGTGCCAGGCACTCTACTAGGTTCTGGTTACACAAAACCAAAAGCAAAACAGTCCTTGTTTTTAAGAAGTGTCCTTTCCCTCAGGGGAAACAATGTATACACATATAAGTAAATGCAAAATATGTACTGTGACGCAGTGGATAGAGTGCCAGGCCTGGAGTCAGAAAAACTCATCTTTCTGAGTTCAAATGCTACTTCAGGCATTACTAGCTGTGTGACCCTGGGCAAGTCACTTAACCCTGTTTGCCTCAGTTTTCTCATCTGTAAAATGAGCTAGAGAAGGAAATGGCAAACCAATCCAGTATCTTTGACAAAAAAAAAACAAACAAAAAACAAATCCAAAAGGGATCACATGAAGCACATTCCAGGCAAGAAGCACAACCTCTGCAAAGACACAGAGATGGGAGAGGTAATATTATGCTGGGGGAAAAGCTGGTATATCAGTTTGGCTGGAATGAAGAATATCTAAAGAGTAGTAATGTGCAATAATTCTGGAAAGGTAGGCTAGAACTTTTAGTTTGCACTGAACTGCAAACAAAGTGAATGTCCATCAAGTGGAAATGAGGTAACTGGATAGCAAGCAGACAGAATGCTAGACAGAACACATCAGGAAAATATAAGTTCAAATCCATCCTCAGTCACTTACTAACTGTGTGACCCTGGGCAAGTCACTTAACCCTGTTTGCCTCAGTTTTCTCATCTGTAAAAATGGGGATTAAAGCACCTACTTCCCAGGGTTATTGTGAGGAGAGAATATTTGTAAAGCAGTTTGCAAGCCTTAAAGTACTATAAAAATGCTAGATATTATTACAGGAGTGATTTCTATTGGGAAAGTTAGTGGGGAAACAACTGTGATATTAAAAAAGAGAATCATTAAAACACTTTAAAAATGAAGAAGGTAAGTTAAAGCCAGATTATGAAGAGCTTTTAATAACAATCTGAAGACTCCTAGAGGCTATAATAGGCAGCCACTGCAGCTGTTTGAACAGATGAGTGGCATACTTTGGAAGCTAAGAGGAAGCTAGGTTAGCAAAAGGAGATGAAGCAAAAGGTGGTTTTAGTAGTAGTTCAGGAGAGAGGTGATAAAAACCTGAACTACAGTGGTGTAGGCACTGATTTTGCAACTGATTGAGTAGGGAAGGTACGAGAAAGAGTGAAGAAATCAAAATGACTCCAGTATTACAAACGAGTAACTAGAAGAATCGTAGTGTCCTTGACAGAAGCAGGGAAAGTGAAGAAGTTGAGTGGGTTTGGGGAGAAAAGGTAATAGGTCTGCTTTGAACATCCAATGGGAAATCTTCCATGGTCACCCATGGAAATCACCATAGTTATGTGGTACAGGAGCTCAGGAGAGATGCTAGGGCTGAACATATAGATCTAGGATTCATATGCGTAGAGATGGAGAAAAGAGAAGGGGCCCAAGACAAAGCAATGGTCTATATCCACAATTACAGAATTGAAGAAGATGATTCAGCAAGGAACAAAGATGGAATGTCCAGACCATTCATGTATTCCTTCAATAAACATTTATTAAGTGCCTACTACTTGCCATGTACTGTGCTAAGCATTGGGGATACGAAAAGAGGCAAAAAGCAATCCCTACCTTCAAAGGAAAACCAAGAGAGAGCAGTGTCATGAAAATTCATGTTGGTCAACAATGCCAAATGCTACAGAGAAATCAAGAAGGACAAAGAGTGGAAAGGCCATTGGATATGGCAACTCTATTACTTTGTCTAGAGAACCAGGTCTTTGAACTCTTAAACTTTAATTCTTCCAATAGATAACTTCCAAGATTGGTGCTGCTCAGGACATCTCCCTTCTCTGGATAGAAGGCTAGATTTTAAAATCAGGCTGCCTAGGAAATATCATTCACGAGTTGACCTTTGGAACTGAATGGGCATGGTTTTTTCTTGAAGCTACGATGGCTTTTTGTGACCATCACTTCCTTTCCTAAATTATTGCTTTCCAAAATTAGGGCCCAGACCTAACTCTAAGGAGTGTGTGATCAACCAATTGGAGGGTGGAAAGATGGGTCACATCCTACCCTCTAAGAAACAGTCATTTGTGAATTTGTCTCTAACACAACTACACCTCTCCTCAGTGATCAGCCATTGTTGAATTTTCATTGTGAGCATTTACCTCAGAAATTGGAAAATGCTACATATCAAGGCTTGATTTGTAATTTGGTTGATTATCTAGACTTAGGAAAGTGATAGAGAAAATGTTAATAATGAAGACTAAACTTAAAAAGTGTGTCCTGCATATATTTTTTTTCCTTGTAGAGCTGGTCATTAAGCATTTATCAGCATACCACTGCCTCTCCACCATTATAACTCAACATTCCCCTATTCTGCCCCCTCCCACCACCGGCTTCCTGTGGCTGTGCTGAGGATGAGCCTCTGAGGACAATAATAACTTAATCAAGACCCAGGCACCAGAAACAGCTGTCTAAACAAAATTTCCTACTCCATTCCTCTAGGCCCTCCACACCCTGCTCCCCAGATCACCTGTGGCTGCCACAGGCATTTCTAAACATACCGTGATGCAGTGGCTGCTAAGACATTTCCTTCCAATTTTTCAGTAGGAAAGAGTAAATAGCAGAGAATGAGAAGGCATGGACATGTTGATATCTTCATAGTAAATCTCATTAAATTATCTTTGCCCCCCAAACCAATCCCTCTTCTGAATTTTCTTATTTCCCTTAAGGGTGTCACAATATTTCTAGTATCTCAAGCTCTCAGTTTCCTCATTATCCTTGACTCCTCACTTAACTGTTAATGTTCTCTCCAAAGTTCCCAATTAATCTCTTAATTGCCATGTCTGATGGCCTTTTTTCATTCCTCATCTTTCTTTACCTCTCTGTAGCACCTGGAATTATTGACCACCTTCTCCTCCTGGATACTTACGCCCTCTTCTTTGGGTAGTAAAGAATGATGCTAGTGGGAAGCTTGTTAAAAAAAAAAAAAACTTTCAATATGCACACTTAAAAACTTGGGAACAGAATTGTCTAAATGGTTCAAGAATTTTCCAGACAAAGAGTTTCAGTGGGTTCTGAACCCATGTGTTAAAAAATACAAAAATGCAATAGCTTCCAACTAGTTTTCAAGAACAACTGATTGAATAAGGGAAGGCAGACATCTAGTACCTGAAATTCAACAACAATACAATTGGTGGGTGGGATTGAAAAGTGAATATTGTGATTTAGTAAATGCAGTTAATGATGCCCTTCCTTCACTTGTATTTGGGTATCTTTGTGAATTATGGCAGTCGAATTGGGAAGTAAATTGAACTTAGAACTGAACCTTAAAGTTGCTGCATCACAAAGTATCAAGGTAAGATTTTTTTAACGAAGCCTATTCAGTCACATTACTTTTACTAGAAATGTCATCGTTAATAGTAACATTTTAGTAAGATCAAAAAGGGCTTTTTAACCACTCATAAATTATCTTCAATATTTTATCAGATTTTTAATTCCTCCTTTCTTAATTTCAATTTTGTGTAAGCTTTATAATGTACCTAATTATTAGTTTAGTAGTACATGTATACAAATTATAAATAAGTAAAAATATTTCTATTGGGGAGTATTTTTTTTTTACTGATAGACATGCATAATCAAAAAAGTTTGGAGACCATTATCAACAAAATCTATACCAAAAAAATCATAGGTATGGACAAAAAAAATAAAACAAAACATAGAAAAGGTCTAATGGATAACTACACTATGAACTATAGAAACAGTGAAAATCATGCCCGTGAAAACTGAGTCAGAATGCTGCAAAACAGTGTTGCATCTAGGGAAAGAAATGCCACTAGTCTTTGCATAAGGAGAGACAGTAGTCTGTACCCAGACATTCCGTCTATGTGATCTGTGCCCAGTGTATGAAAGGAAGCATTTCGTCTTTTTTACATAAATTGGGAAGTCATCAAATGAGCAAAAAAAC